TGGCACTGATTATTTTGAAGGCCCTGGGCCCACCGTATATATCGTGGGTCCCATCAAAACGTGAAAATTATTTCAAAACCATCTTGGGATTATCCAAATCTCAGTCGTTTTGTGAATTTTAGGCTGGTTTTTTATTTTTTTGTAAAAAAAAGGAAAGTAAATTATATGGAGAAAGGTAATGAAGACTGTATTTTTACTGTTTTCATGTTTCTACTGTGTACCATCTTTTTACTGTTGTTATTGTACAGGTAAATTCAGCCACGTATAGATTTTTAAAATATATATACATTGCATAGCACATAACATGTATACATATATACAAATACTAATTTTCAAGGTAGAGTTTGTAACTCTAATATAATGGTTAACCACATTTACCCCAAAACTTCAAATACTACTTCTCTAAATACTTGGAAAACATCCCCTTTTTTACTACCTAAATATTTGTCATTCTAAGAATAATGCATGTCATAACGAATTTATGTGTTGTTTTAACTTTTCTTTAACTGCGTGTATTGAATTTTGAGATCTTGAATCTATTGCCGACTTGTTGAAGATATTTTTTCATTTATTTTTGTCGTGTGCATATAGCATGTACCACGTTGTCTAATGACGACAATGCACATAATGACGTGATGATTTATAAAGCAAACTAATTTGTTTGAAAGGAAAACAACAAGTTAATGTATTTTATACAATGTAGGTGTAGATAGTAGTTGTTAAGGTTGGTAGCCAGGTTGACTCTCCCAAACTATCAATACATGAGAGTATTTGAAATACTTTGATAAACTTCTTAGGCAAAAGGACTTAGTGCAAATACAATGTACAAAATAAGTTCATTGAAGTATTTTTTGTAAATTGATGGTTGACTTGTCATCTTTCAATAGCATAATATTGACAATGAAGGAACCAAAAATTGATGGGTTACCTAACATAAAATTTATTCATCTTTTGACAAAGTTTCACAAAAACATCTATATGAGACAAAATATGGGCTATCATATTTCAACCCCCATCTCATAATTAATTTACCTGCTAATCACCTAATTACTCAACCATGATTACATTCAACAAACTTTGCTCCAGGCTACAAGCAAAAAAGAGCCACTATAATCATTCTTTATCAAACGTAGCAAATTTAGCTAATGTGTATAGTTAAATATCTTAAATATAACTAGATAAAAAATTTACTTAAATATAATGAATTTTAGTTAATGCGTGTTGGGTATTCAAATTTTAGACCACGGTCTACAAGTGAAGATATTTTTCCACTAAGTTAGACGCGCGTCGACAAAATCTTATATTTGTATGATAAATAAATAAAGACATGGATTTCAAATTGAAATATAAGCACTAGATTTTGCATGTGTATATAATTGTTGTTGAACGCAACGTCTGTTTGTTTCTCTTTGGGGCAAATAATTGAATGCGATGTCAGTGTTTTTGGCTAATGGAGGCGTACATCGCCAGGAAACACAATTTTTCTGTACATGTTTGGTTTCTGCCGACTTCAATGCCCCACACCCACAGTGAGTCCAATAATGATCTTCTTGGAAATGAAAACGAAATTTGAAATGGGTTTCTTCCAAATACGACATGGTTGAACTTGTGCTCTGATATTGTTGGAGCCCACTCTTCATTTTGGTGTAAGATTTCATCTTCATGTAATCTAAACAAATATTTCACTTGTCCGAAAAATTAAGTATCATTTAGTTGTTAGGGTTAGTCTTTATAAGTATAACACTTATAATTATTCTCGACTCTCGAGTATGTCAGTCTTTGCAGTCTGACAATATAATAATATTTCAAACATCATAGATTCGAGTACCTAACATCGAACAAAGAAAAACAATTGCATTCAATCCGTAACCCTCAACACATACATCGTATGCAGATGAACACAAATACACTCTATAATAATGTATTATGAAGTGAAACATTCTATTTCACATGGTATATATGCCAACTCCGCTACTTTGGCCGGCCGATAGGGATGGTTGGTGTTTGTCTTGGCCCTCAAGTTGAGGAGTTAAACATGGGAAACCATAATGACTTTATAAAGTACCCTATTAATTTGTTAATCCCGAGCCCTAGTCACCTAAAGTAAGGCAATGGCCATCAAACTTCTTTTCTTTCTTTTTTTTGCCTTATTTTATGCAGGTTGGGGGTCACACAAACTTTACTTTGGGATCAAAGCTTTGAATGAAAATTATGTTGAAAGCAGCCTTCTAACTTGTACAAGGCAGATGGAGTTGCCTCAATATAATGATTTGTTTTGTACCCTTTTGCTTTTTTCTTCTTGAATATCCTTTGGTTCTTTGAAATGTTTTGCTGGGGTGAGGCCAGCTACGAGTTAAATATCCTATGGCTATGATTCATAGTACACTGATGTTGACTATTTTGGTCAATGAATATTGTTTGGAGCCAAGAGTTGCCTAGCCCTTTATAGACATGGAAAAGCACATACATTAAAAATTAATAAAAAATTAATACATGGTTGAGGTCCACTATGGGAGCGCTTATTTTCTCAAGATTTGACTGTCTATTATATTATTATTAACTATATTATTGGAATTCAAGAATATTCTTCCCTTTTATTAACGGAAAGAGATGTTTCCAAAATAATGTGAGATAAAATTTTCAATGTGAAAATTGTGATTTTTTAAGGTCTTTTTTTTTTTTTTTTTTTTTTTTTTTTTTTTCTCGGTGTGAAAAAAACATGATTCTTAAATATGGGGTAAAATAGGGCAGCTGCTCAACCAAATTCATTACCATTTTAAATGGTCCTGGTTTTATGATTTTGGGTCACCTGAGCCCAATCCGAATTAAAGCATTTGAATGGACAAGTAACACTATAATTGGGCTCAACTCAAGTTCATAGATCCAATCGGCTTAAACCAAAGCCCAAGGTACCTTCCCTTTTTTCTTCTTTTTTTTTTTGTTGATACGAGTTTTGCAGAGAGGCTAGAATGAGTGGTTTTTGGTTACCCAAAAAAAGGAGGGGTTTTTGTGAGGGGTCATAATGAGGGGATCTTTAATAACTGTTTGATCCAGTGCAAAGTTTTTATTGGACTGTTAAATTGAACCCCCTCATTGTAACTCCTCAACATAGGGATATCAAAGATAGAAGTTAGGGTGTACGGGTAACTACTCTTATATAACCACTTGAGTTATAAACTTCTTTCAAAGTTAAAGGTATTAAGATCAATTTAAGATCTGTATGAATTTTTTAATTTGTTTGCATAAAAATCTAAAATTCAAATATCAACTGAGATTTTGAAAAGAATTGCTATTTGGAAGCTACATTTGTAGCTTAAAATAGAAGAGAGGCTCGCCTATATGGTAATTAGAGGACAACTTTGGTCGCTCAGGGCATGCTTGGTATTCAACTTAAATCCAAATTTTAAATTCAAAAACAGAATTTGAGTCCAAAACAAAGAAAACCTATTTGGTAGCTCTATTTTTAAAAACTCAAACTCGAGAATAACTAAAAAACACCCCAATTATTAAAAACAAAAAATATCTATATTTATTGTTTTTTTTTTCTAACAACCCACAAGTTCTCAAATTTTTAAGATTTGAAAAGTTTTCAAGTTGCATACTAAACAAGTTTTTGAATCTTAAAAATAGATTTAACAACTCTTTATTTTTAAGAAAAATCAAAGTTTTTGGGTTCCCTATTTTAGTAGGATACTAAACGCCCCTCACCTTCTACCTTTTTTTTTTTTTTTTTTTTTCTCCTGTTTGGCTTGTTGGAGGCAATTCTTTTGTTTTGTATTTTTCGCTGGCTTGTTTGGGCTTAGTGGACCACTCTTTATTATCTTTGGTTTCTTTTTAATAAATATTGTTTATATTATAATTATAAAAAACAAAAATACGATGTATGTGTGATGTATGTGTGTATGGCTAAGAGGGTGGACTTATTTTGGACAAAGGGATGGGCTGACTTCTAGACAGAGGGCTGGGCTGATTTCTAAATTACCAAAGTTGGGTTGCACCTCTAAGCCTATTTTCAAAAATCAAGACCGGGTTGGAGTGGCTCCAGCCCAAGCGTAAATCCACTCTTCATTTTTCTTGTTCTTATCTTTTCATGTATTGTCAAAAAAATGGTGACAATGGATTCTAATTTTACCAAATCGAATGTTAGTTGGATTGACCCATAATTTTGGTGTGCTTCCAAGTGATCTTGAAGTTCAAGCCCGCACGGTACTTGTGTGTGTGAATAACCCTCATTCTTCCTAATTTTGACATTAAAAAAAAAAGAACTCTAACAATAATAAGAAAATATTTTCCGGTACAAACCTATTTTAATAAATAATACAAATAAACATTTAATTTGGAGAACCATTAAACATCTAAGCTTGTTCCAAATGTTAGTCAAAATGGGATCACTAATGTCGCTACGAGAGGATATCACTAAAAGAGAAACGTAGCTATGATAAATTATTATAATTATAAAAAAGTCGATATAAGGAATTCCTTTTAAAAATATATTAAAAAAGTCGCAAAAAGATACAATTTTAAAAATATTTTTTTTTTGGGGGTTTCACTAAAACACCCAAAATGGGGATTGAAATTATAAAAAAACCCAAGCACTATTTAAACATATAAACACACCCAAAACCCATCATTACACACACTCAAACCCATTTATAAACACACCCAAAAAGTTGACTTTAGGGTTGATTTTGGGTGTGTTTC